GGGGAGGGGGGAAGTGGGGGGGATGAGTACCTGATGCCAGGCGCTTAAGTGGAGAGCAAATGTTCAAAGAATGAGGAGGGCAATGAATGTACAAATGTGCTTTACACAATCAGTGTATATATGGATTGTGATAAGAGTTGTATGAGCCCCTAATAAAATGATTAAAAAATAAAATAAACTTTTAAAAATAAAGTAAAAAAAAGAAAAAAGCACCAGTGCTCAGAGGGACCTAAGGAGACATGATGCCTAAGGTTTGAATTTAGAAACAGCAGTATGAACTCATGATGCGTGTGTGTGTGTGTGTGTGTGTGTGTGTGTGTGTGTGTGTTTCAGTTAAGAATTTCCAATGGACAAAGCTCAAAGGATGTGGGCAACAAAATGAATCAAGTAATATTAAAGTATCAGCCAAAGTAGAACTATCCATGATCCGTGTGTTCTCCCAGGAGCCTTTGTGGTGCCGTGTGTTCAGCGCTGGACTGCTAATCAAAAGGTGGGAGCCACTCCATAAAGAAAGATGCTCCAGTAAAGGCAGACAGCCTCGGAAAGCCCGCGGGGCCATTCTACTCTGTCCTTGCAGGGTTTCTCAGGGTCAGCATCTACTCAGTGGCAATGGATTTGGTCTGGGTTATGAGGGCTTCCTCCCTGTCTTACAATGGGAGAAACACCAGAGAAGACCACAGAGGTGAAATATTTTCATGTTTTCATGTTTCGTGTTCATCATGTTTCTCTCGACTGTCTCTACTCTCTATACTGCATACTTTGGAAGATATAAATACATGGCTGACTCACTAAATTAATAAATAGGAAGAGACAAACTTCCCATACAGAAGAATTCCAAAAATGTATATACTGACCCCAGTTTCAAGGAAACATAACTCTCCATGTATCAGGCAGTGTCAGATTATACAATATACAAGGTAATCACAGGTTTACCTGTGTCATGTTCATGATAGTGAACAGCTGAGTAAGTAAGCATAAGTCAGTTAGTTCATGCTTACCTTGCTGACTGGATTGCCTGTTCCTGTCAAGGACTGCATATGTGAAAAGAGGCTGTGATTCTGTAGGAAGCTTCTGAGAGGGTCGACGAGAGATACATGCCAGCCACACCAACAAGCAGAATTGTTGTTGTGATAAAAACATAAAGCCCCTGCCATCCAGTAGATTGAGGAGCCCTGGTGGCATAGAAGGTTATGTTTTGGCCTTTGTGGTAGTTACATAATCTAGTGTCAGTTTGAGGATTAAGAGTGTAGGGATGGAGTCTAGGCTGTTAATCAGGATATGGCCAATGAGATCTCTGTGTGGGCATGGCCTTCCCCTAAGGATTCTTGAGAATTGCTGGATTTTCATCCTTGGAGGTAGGAGACTCTCTGCTCACACCCTGGGAGACATAGTAGCTGACAAGACACATAGACCCACCCTGATGCAGCCCTGGGGGCTGGAGAAGCCATACAGAGACCCCTGCGAGGGCTGAGATGTTTCCAATGTCCCTGGATCCAAAGACTTTCTACCCACCGGCCTGTGATCTTCTACATTTGGCGTCATTGTATGTTTTTTTGTGAGTCTGAAGAGGGCTTTATAGATTGATATCAGACATATGGGCTAATATCGGACTTAGGGACTTGATCTGGACTGGGCTGGGATGTTTTCTCAATGTTCAATTGCTCTTGTGTGTCCATGGATTTGTTTCTCTAGTCTACCCAGACCAACACAGACTGCTAACAATGAGGTCAGCTGTTCAAAACCAGCAGCCCCTCTGAAAGAGAAAGATGAGTCTGTCTACACCCATAAAGAGTTACTAGGACACCCACAGGGGCTGGTCTACCCTGCCGGATAAGGTCACTATGAGTCAAAACTGACTCCATGGTAGTGAGTTATGGACTTGATTTTGACTCATTACAAACTAATAAATTAGTACAAGTATATCCATGCTTACCTGCTTTATTAGATAATCAGTCACAATCTTTACTTGTGGGCGGCATGGAATGGCTTTCTTCCAAAGTATGCAGTATAGAGAGTAGAGAACGTAGAGAGAAACATGATGAACACGACCATGAAAATGATATTTCACTATGTGGTCTTCTCTGGTGTTTCTCTCATTGTAAGACAGGGAGGAAGCCCTCATAACCCAGACCAAATCCATTGCCACTGAGTAGATGCTGACCCTGAGCAACCCTGCAAGGACAGAGTAGAATGGCCCCCCAGGCTTTCCGAGGCTGTCTGCCTTTACTGGAGCATCGAGTGGCTCCCACCTTTTGATTAGCAGTCCAACGCTGAACACACGGCACCACAAAGGCTCCTGGGAGAACACATCCTTACCCATGCCATCTGACTTATCCTGAGAAAAACCACACAAATCCCAACAGTGGGCAGCCTCCTACTGAATGTCAGTCATTATAAAATAACTGGGAAAAGTACCAGCGTCCAGAGGGGCCTAAGGAGGCATGATGACTCAATGTAATGCATCCTGGGGCAGAAAAAGGCCATTAGGTAAGAACTTTAAAAAAACAAAAAACTATAAACTTTGGACCTTTGATTAATTAATTATAAGTATGCTAATGTAACATGTTAATAGCGGGAAACTTGGTGCGGTTTATAAGGGAACTCTAAACAATCTCAATTCTTCTCTAAATCTAAAACTGTTCTTTAAAAAATATGAACTTTTAAAAAAGTTATAAGGCTGGGATTTGCTTTAATGGGCAGGGGGAGGCTATATGTGATACAGAGACAAGACTGGCCATGAATTGATGTTGAAACGGGGTGATGGATACCATGGGGTTCATTTATACCCTTGTTCTGAACATGTTTGAAATGATATATATTATATATTTTAAAGCAATTTAAACCACTTTTTCAGTAACAACAGAAATAATCTTGAGTCCTTAATAATACGGGCGGAGACCCCTTATTAAGCATGCCTCGCTTCCACCACCAGGCAGAGAGGGGGTGGATTAGGTGGGGAACCTCCATATTGGTCCTGGGGATCGAAGGTACCTTCCCTGCAACAAAGTCTTCCTCTTTGTGTTTCAAATTTGCACATGGGCTTTCCAGAAACAGCTAGAAGAACGTCGTTAGAGAACTTTAAGGGCCACAGGCCTCTGTCCCACTCCCGGGGCACCAACGGCCGAGGACCCCTTTAGGTTAGAAGGCTGCCCGGCGCGCGGCGGGGCGCGCACGTGGCGGCGGGGCGCGCATGCGTGTGGCGCACTGGGCGGGCCGGCGAGCAGCAGAGGTGAGCGGAGCGCAGTCGGCGTCGCGTCGGGGTGGTGGGCTCCCGGGCCCGGGCTGGCGCCACCACGTCTAGACTTCAGACGTCGCTTGGGGTCAGCGGACCTTTTCCAGCTTTCCAGGTCAGCGTCTCTGGGCACACGAAGGAGCCCGGGTCCCGGGTGAGGGTGAAGGGCTTTGGTCGTTGGGGGCCGGACGTTGGGCGCTGGACGTTGAGGTCAGGCGTTGAGGTCAGGCGTTGAGCAAGCCCGAGGGGCCTGAAGTAGAGAAGATGGGAGGCTGGAGAAAACTTGGGTGACTGGGAAGCGGGTGAGGGTCCGGGGGTGTAGGTTGGGGCCTTCGAGGGTTCTTTCTGTATTGGGCCGGGGGAGGGGCGAGGGCCGGCGAGGCCTTGGCTCTGCGGTGCATTTGGAAAGGCTTGGCGGGGACCTGCAGAATGCGCACCTCCCTGCTTCGTAGGCCACTTTCCCCTCATTTCTCCCCCAAACCAAAGTCGCTGCCACTGAGTCTAGGTGACCGTATGGGACTCGGTAGAAACTGTCGCTGTGGGTCCTCCGCCTAACCCGTGATCCACTACGTCACCAGGGCTCCTCCTATCGCTAAAAGGCGCGCGTTCGTGAGGTTATTGCTTTTAATGGCAAGCTGCCGAGGAAACAGTTTTAATACTCTTAGAAGTTTTTTCTAACGCCGTCCACTCTGCATGGAAAAGGAAGAGCAGCACGCCGTTGGCTTAAGCGTGGGTTCATTGAACCCGTGTTTGCAGAGCGTCTGCTGTGCGCAGGTTGCCTCCCCCCCATGGAGGATTTTCCCTTGTGGGCCCTTTAAGGAGCACAAACGGTGCGGTGGTTAAGTGCTTGGTTGGAAGTTCCAGATGGGCATCGCAGATTTGCAGGAGAGGTGCTGGTTGTCTGCTAGTGGAAAGATTACAGCCTGGAAAACCCTGTGGGGCAATTTTACTCTCAGCTCCACATAACAGGGGGGTGGGGGGAGGGGTGGGGAGGTACTCTGTTAGGGTGAATCAGCAGATTATTATATGCAAAATTGGCCCGGGGAGTAAGATTTGGATTTTCCTACTAGTTGAAGCTTGTGGGGGTTGGGGGGGGGGCGTAATTGCAAGGCGGGGGATGGGTTTTCAGCCCTGCTGGAATAAGGGTACATTTGTATTCACTTCTTCCTTATGCGCACAAACTATTCCACAGGTGTTGGGAGAAAAATGTCGGGGTGGGGAATGGAATAAAAAGAAAAAAGCAACTGTTTGGGGCTAAACACAGAGAGCCCCAGTGGCCTATGAAGAGTGTTGGGCTGCTAACTGCAAGGTAGGCAGTTCAAACCTACTAGCAAGGCTGAGCGAGACGGATGAAGCTGTGTGGTCCTAAAGGTTTAGTCTCAGACCTTGGGGAGCAGTTCTGCCCTGCCCTTTAGGGAGCACCAGACATCGTATTTTTACCAACCACCCCACATACTCTAGTCATTTCTGACACCTAGCAGCCCCGTGGTAGCCCTGTGTACCACAGAAGGAAACACTGCTCCGTCCTCACAATTCTTCATTCTGTTTGAGCCCACCGTCCCGCAGCCGCTGTATCCATCCATTGCTGTTACTATTGCTATTTGCTTTTTACAGGCACTGCACCCTGGAGAGGTGGAATGTTTGCCTCAGGAGTAGCGTAGCTAGAAAGTGACAGGATGGGATTCACGCTTTGCTCTAACCAACTCTTTTCCTCACTCTAGAAAACGCTCCGCCACTGGATCAATCCCAACTCACAGCGACCCCATAGGACAGGGCACCTGTGGGTCTTGTTACTTTCCACAGGAGTAGAAGGCCTTGTTTATCTCTCTTGGAGCAGCTGGTGATTTTGAATTGCTGACCCTGCCTTTAAGCAGCACAGGGCGTAAGCAGGATGCACCAGGTCCTCTCTGACTGCGTTTCCTTTGGAGTAGAATGACTTGCTGAATCTGGGGTTGCCAGGAGGACAAAAGCCTGCATGGGGGAAAGAAAACGGTGGCAACTGCTGAGTGCACTGCTGACGCGGAAAAGCTGGGCTCATTGGGGGTTTACTCTGGAGGCTTGGTGTGCTGCAAAAGCTGCAACGTAAGGCTGGGGGGGTTTAAGGCCAACCTGAGTCAGCATCTTCGTGTTGGGAGCTGGTTTGGTCTGGTTTTGCTGTAGACCACCCCCCTACACACACAGAGACACACACACACACCCTGAAAGGAATGGAGAAGCATGATTTGGTTGTCTCTGGTGTATTCAGGGATACTCTTAGCACCTTGGGAAGGGGGGGGGCGGAGGGGAGGAGGATTCAGGGAGTACTAGAAAGAGAGGTCTTATCTGTCCTTAAGAAATCTCCCCATCTTTGGAAGGTCAAAGCAGGGAATAGGAAACAAAAGGTTGCTGCACAAGGTGATGAATCTAGTCCACGGCCTTGTCTGACATCAGGGATTCTCATTCTAGGGATCCCTTAATGTGAAGAAACGGGAGGGGGCTTCTTATCAATGTCTTCTTAGTCAAGAAAATACATAACTATTTCAAGGATCATGGGAATGATGATAAAGTTTGTTCATCACTATTGACATGTAAAAAATAATGTGTAAAGCATGTGGGGAAAATAGATTTAATATAGGGCACGGTTAGCCCATGTAGTGTGACCTTTGCGCTGATGTCCTTCAGGCTGTCTGTACCTGTGTCCAGGTGTCTTCTGCAGTCTCAGGTTGGAGACTAGCATTGCGGCCGCAGGGCTTCCCCACTGACTCACAATTGAAAAACCCTGGCAGCACCTGGGCTCGGAACAAGCGCTGTTGCTGTGTTTTTAAGAGTCCTTAGGTCTCTCGGAACAGGTGCACCTGGTTCTTGTTTAACCTTTAACTTGTAAGGGGGACTCCTGGTGGTGCAGTGGGTCATGCATTGTTCTTCTGATCACAAGTTTGGCTGTCTGCTCCGGGCAAGTCACGGTCCTGGAAGTCCTCTGTAACAGGTCTGTCATGTTCCTGGGTCACTGTAAGTCAGCCGACCGGATGGCAGTGGGTTTGGTGAGCACAAGAAAATGCTGGAAGCCTTTTGGGTCCTTTGAAAGCTGTATGTGCTGCAAGTGAAGGTGATCGTAATGAGTTGTTTTAAGTAGGGCTTGGCTTGGTCTTTTCAAACTCGACTGCTGTCAAATCACTTCTGATGCATAACAACCCTGTAGGGCAGAAAAGAACTGCCCCTGTGCGTTTCTGAGACCAAGACTCGGCCTCATTTTTCTCCTGTTCTTGCGATTAGTGGCCCCCACCCCCTCCCCAGGCCACCTTTGGGCTATGGCTGCCATGGTGGTGGCACTGAGTGTGTATGCCTCTCTGAGGTACTGCTGTGTCAGGCTCAGCACACCTCTTCAAGCGCCACCAGCCCCCACTCGCCAATTGCATGACTCCAATCTTCATTTTCCGGTTTGGATTTCCTGGAGAGAGAGAGAGAGAGAGACAAGGGTTCATGTAGATAGTGCACCTTCAGGTCCGTCTCTCTTTCTCTTCATCACCTGTGGCAGAAGGGGTCAGAAGCACTACATTGAAGGGCTTGAAGGGTTGTCTTCGAGACCTTGAATGGAGGGGCCCTGAAGGATAAAGTACTTGACTGCTAGCCAAAAGGTCTGTGTGTAGTTCAAGCCTGCCAGCTGCTCTGAGGGGGAGAGGTGGCAGTCTGTAAAGAGTGACAGCCTTGGCAACCCTATGGGGCAGTGCTACTCTGCTTTGGGGGCTCCTGTGAGCTGGAAGGCTCCCTACAGCAGTGGGCTTGGACTTTCAGGCCAGGGGTTAGTTGATCAGATGTTGGCCTTACCTAACTTCTGCAGACTGGCTTCCTGCTCATTGGTCGGCCCAGGATGAAGTCAAATAGAGATAAATCCAGTCTTACAGGGTTGTTATTTTTTACTTTTTTTAATACTAATATTTAAAAATTTTTCAATATTAAAATTTTCTGGGCTGTCTTTAGATTTGGTCTTGCTCTTATTTTTTATGTAATAAACGAGGATGCTTTAAAGAGTTCACACAGAAATGGAATTAAAAGATAATTGGATTTTTGCACGAACTTTTAGAAGCCACATATGTGGTGTTGGCCTTTGGCTCGTGGGAACCCCATGTGCATGGGATCAGAGGGCTGTGATCCATAGGGTCTCCATGGGATGGTTTTTCAGAAGTATATCAGGCCTTCCTTTCCAGTCTCACAGTGTAGAGTCTGCCGAGCCGTGTTGAGCAGCATAGTATCGTGCAAATCTCTACAGAGGGGGCACAGGAGGGCTACTGACTGGTGGTCAAACCCAGGTCTTCTGCGTGTGGGCAAGCACCATTTCACTGAACTACCACTGCCCCCACACGAAACGTGAGTTAAAACTCATGGAAGAGTACGCCAACAGAAAAAAGGGTTGCTTGTGTAGCATTGTAAATTATTATTGTAAATTAAATTATTACTTTATTTTCAATGAAGCCCTCCAGAAGTTTTCTGGTGGCTGAAGTTGTTAGACCTGTTTGCCTGCTCCAAACCCAAGTGCCCCGGACGGCAAGGAAGTTGGTCCCAAGTCACACAGCCTGTGACTCCTGTTGGCTGTGGGAATCCTGTACTCCCGTTGGAGAGTCCTGTCTGTGTGTGTAGGGG